TTCTGGAAAAAAAAAAATTTTCAGATGGCAAAAAAAAAAAAGTTGAAAAAGGGAACAAGGAAAAGAAAGTTTAGGGTTGGGGAGAGGGCAGGAAAAGATGATCAAAAAGGTGACAAAAATGTATGTTTTACCTATGTTTAGCGCTGGCAGAAAGATAAGGTGAGAAGAAAATTTTGTTTGATGTATCAAATTTTTGTTTTCTTTATTTTTGGCTAGTCGTATATTGAAATTGTTATATGGGTAACTAGCTGGTTCATTTACTTAATGTATTTTTTTTTTGCATGTGCTCTTTTTGATTGTATTTCACTGTTTCGCTTTTTTTTTGTTTTTTCGGTTTTCATACATCTCGTCAGTCTTCAATCTTCCGTTGTGATAAACTTTTATTTTCATGTTGCTTTTTGTCATCCAACATTATAAAACGGAAAAAAAAAAGTGGATACGATAAGAAAATAAGTTAGCGGTTATGAAGTGCAAAAGCTACAGTATTCTTTTCCCCAGTCCATAGTTCACTAAACTGTTAGTAACAGCACAAAACCTTGCAATTGTACTTTTTCACGTCATGCTTACAGTAGCAGCAAAACAAATAATACATTTTTCAAAACATAAAGTATATATATAAATTAATAATACATATTAAAAGTTCTACAACAGCAGTAGCTATAATAACAGTAATGACTTTTTCCATCGATATCTGGTACACCGATACGCATTTAACTGTTGCTGTCAATACTCCCGTCCATCCAAGATATTGCCGTTAGACGTTATACAGTTCACTATTTACCGTTGAAAAAAAAAAAAGAGAGCCAAGTAAAACAGTATTGAAATCTTCAGCAAAAAAAAAAAAATCAGGATAGTAATCTGTTGTAAATACTAGATACATCTTGAAATATATCAGTTCCGCATGATAAACTTCACAAGTTTTTTTTTTTCTTTTTAACACCCAAATTATACATCCTTTAAGTCATTGATTTTCACATACAAAATTTCTGGCCACAGAACTTTAGACGTCTCAAAATTATGTTAACTGTTCGTCTAGCCTAAAACGACACTAAATTTATGCATTAAAATGAGTTACTTTAGCAGCATCTATTTACTTGCTTTCATTTCCAGACACTGTTGCAAACGTTTATTTGCTTGTAGTAAAATTCCTCTAACCCTAATTTGACAGTTTGTCATCGTGATAAGGTGTGATCTAAGATAAGGTGTGATCTAAGATATAGCTGAATAAATACCACTTGTTGACTACTTAACAGACATTAAGCACCGAAATGACAGTCATTCTTATAGTCAATCATAAAATGTAAAAAAAATTCTTTTTGATTTTTATAACAATAATTTCAGCGATAAATATTCCAAAAAAAAAAAGGAAACTGTGTTGTTTAAGTGATTTCGTTGAATACGTTTTTCAAAATTTAAGCAGTGAACTATCAATCTGCTAAAAGAAAAAATTTCTGCAAAAATTCTTTATTAAATTTTACAGTTACTGACAGCTACCTATTGTACATTTACTGTTAAATTACAAAAAAAATTCATTAGTAGCTGTTCAAAAAATAAAAAAAAAAAGAAGGTTAGTAAATCACTGTTTTTAAGTATACACATTTTTAGGATTTGGAACAACTGGTGCCGCTACTTTTTTTCGGTAATAAACGAAGGCAACTATACGAACAAAAAAAAAGTTGAATGTCATATGAAATTACCAACAATATAAACTTTTTTTAAAATGTAAACATAAAAAAAAGTAACAGATGTGAATGTTTATATTTTCTCTCCAATTTTGGTGAAATGTTACCTGCATTGGAATCTCTAATTTGTTGCCTAAATACCTTTTACCTAACCTACAGTTCTTTCAAAAAATTTCTATATGCCAAATCTCCGGAAGCCTTCGGAAGCTTCAGTCAATAGAACATTATATTGTAAGCTGCTTGATTTTTCGATGCAACATTGCAGAACATCAAAATAATTTTGAAGCACTTTACTCGAGAAACGTAGTGAGGTAACAACTGAAGTTTTAGAGAAAACTCAAACCATAATTCAGAAACATTTATAAAAACGAAAAAAGAGTAAAAAACAGCTCTCTACGAGCTGTGAAACTTAGCGGTGAGCAAACGTAATTGAGTATTTATAGTTCTCAAAACATTTTTATTCTAAATTGAAGCGTCAAAGTTCTCAAGCTTTTAAACTGCAATCTACCAAAAGCTCATCCTGTTTGACACATGATTATCTTAACCTATTTCGCGTCTGTCAGTAACAGAAAATAACGGATATTTGAGCTCCAACAAAAAAAAACACAAAGGTTGAAAAAAACCCTTATGAATAAAACTTAAAACGCCTACAGTCAGTTCAACAAAACGTTATTAATTAGTAAAACATTAAGTGATGTAAAAAAATTAATTCACTTGTCTTCTGCGCTGTTCTTCCAACAAACAGTCAAACTTTTTTGTATATTTTAATCAGATTTCGACTTTCATTCTCAAATAGATTCTGAATATTAACCAAACTCTAAGCAGAACACATTATTAATGACTGTATTTCTCCATACATCTATGAAACGCTGTAAATTCAGTGAACCTATTATCCATTACCCTGAAAAGTTGTCAATTTTACCAGCAATGAAGTGTTCAAAGCTAAACTGATAGTTGTGAATAACAAATCAATTACAAATATAATAGCAGAATTATACTTACCGTTTTCAAAACTATTCAAAAAAAGAAATCTTTTTTTTTCTTAAAGTAGAGGACAACTAGCAATATAGTAGGCCTAGTCGATTTCAAACTAGAAAATTAGAAATACCAATAATATGTGTCTTGTCAATAAACCAGACTACTCATAACCTGTAAAGGATTCATTATCCTGCAAAAATACCATGTCCTATAAATTTTCCCAACTAAGTCAGTTTCAAAAGTCAGATTCTCAAAGAGAGGAAATGTCTTTCCAAATTTTTATCATGACACCTCATCCCGAAAAAATTTGTCTAATAAAACCGACTAGTAAAAAAATAATCAACTAATTCCCTATCGTTGCTAAAAAATATTTTTCAAATTTGAAGTGCAGGTATTTCAGAGATCCTCCCAGTACCGATTTATAAACTACAATCATAAATCCAACCACAACTCATCATTCAATTATTCATTAAACTATAACATGGACGTATATGAGCAAATCCTGCTAACGGTCATTTCTATCCTAGTGTACTTTTCAAGATTTCTTCACCAAATATTACTTTAAACGAGTAAATTCCGTGCACGAGACTCGATCACCGCAATTTAATATCTTAGTTGTCCAGACGTTATTTGCACATTTCAAACAGATATCTTGGGAATAAATTCAATTAGCATAACTTATACTGATAACACAAGCACTGAACGTCACATCCTCGAGAACAAAGTGATTACTCTTCTTTCAATAAACTTTACCTTCCTTCTTCTTGCAATTACAGTTTTACCGACATTTATTGGTCAAACCATTTAATTGCTTTCAAATGCGGTTCTTAAAACCTTTATTAAATAATCAAATCTTTGACCACTGTGCAGCTAATTTTTACTAGGAGGACTGATAAGCCAACATTTTCTTCCTCTCCGTTAACAACTTCAAAAAATCTCCCCTACACTTATATCAGCAATTTTCCAGTTCAGTAGACGTCACCAGCACATAAACTAACGCTAATAATATAAATGAAGAAAGCATAAACCCCTTCAGTCCCGTAAAACTCTCGATAAAACTTCGTAGCCTTCGTTCAGCCAAACAATGACAGTTTCTTCATTACAGCTGTGATTCCAACAGCAAAATTTGACGGACCAAATTTTAATACACCAATTACTGCCTTCTTACTTTTAATTACCTAAAATTCATATTCTGCTACAATTACAACACCTCTCGTTCACAGATGATATTAAAAGAATGAATTAGGCGATTAACAA